TGGATTTAAGGATATGAGTGCTATAATATATGAATAATGAGAGTACAGCTTTTCTACAGAAGACTGGTCAAAGTATATAAAAAACTTTGATTATGTACATCATTTTGTATAGCAAAACTACATATTGAATCTTATCCTGAGAAATAATTAATAATATATACAAAGATTTGGCAACAAGTCTTGTTTACAATAGTAAAATAATTAAAATGGACACCCATAAGAATAGAAGCTTAATTAGTAAATCGAGTGTGGTACATACTTACAATGGATAATTATGCTATCATTAAAATAGTATTTTGAGAAGTGTTTATTTACATGGCAAATATTGACAATAAATTTATAAGTGGTAAAAAGCAGTCTATAAAAGAATATTCTAAATTATGTAATATTTGAAGAAAAAAGAAGTGTATCTATGTAAGTTGATCTGAGAGGTTATATAATTGTTAAGAATGTAGTTTCTAGGTTTTCATTATTTACCTGATTTATATTTTATAATTTTCTTTGTAAGTAATAATCACATAATACTTTTGTACTAAAAATAGAATTATATTTGTACTGATTTTAAAAATATTGCTACTATTGTACATGTAAACGGTTTTCATCAACTATGAATGTCATATGCACAATCTTCTTCATAGCAGCAAGTGTATATGATAATATTTTTTATATCTAGTTTTGAATGTCCTTAACTAATAAGGAAGGAACAATGCTCAACATTTCTTAGTAAATAATCTCCTGTAAATTATTGAAAATACATCTAATATGACTTTGCTGACAAGATAATTACATTTATATCATGCAATTAATCTAATATTTTACATCCTGAGAGATTTTAATTAAAACAAAACCTCTTGCTTTCTCTCTCTCTCTAGTCAATATATTTTTAGCAGTAATGTACAATCTAGTTCTCTTGAACAAAAGAAGGGGAAATTCCCAATCTGGCCAGAGTGGAGTGAAGCTGACATAAATGCAGAAAAATGGGATGCAGGAAAAGCTGCAAAGGAAAAGGACAAAACAGGCAAAAGTCCTATATTTGTAAGTATTTAGTGTGATTAAATTTGAAGTTTGCTTTTTATTTTATTATGGTGGTGGTTCTATGCCGTGGAGCCGATTCTGACTCATAGTGACCTTGTATAGGTTTTCTGAGGCTGTAAATCTTTACAGATGCAGAGAGCCTCATCTTTCTCCTGTGGAACTGCTGGTAATTTCGTACTGCTGACTTTGATTTAGCAGCCCAACTTGTAACCACAACACTACCAGAGATCCTTATAATGGAACATGGATTATTAACATGGTACTGTACTCATACTTTTCCGCAGTCCCCATTTAAAAGGAAGTTCTCTCTTTGTCACTTGGCCTTCCTCACGTACTCATGCCCCCTTGGCCTTGTATTTCCAAGACTAAACTCTGAGCTTTTGTAAATCTCATTTGGAGAGATGGGGCGAGATAGGACCAAAAAGTCTGAATGAAATGAGTGAATTAAGAGACAAAAGAGGTTAGCTAATGAATTTGCAGCAGAATTGGATATCAGACATTTAGAAAGAATGGTTTAGAGAATGAGGAACTGAATGTGACCTGTTAATCAGAGATTATAGGAAAGTGATTTTAAAAGAGATATTATTGCGAGATAAGTATTGGATCACTTGTAGGATAAAGATCTGAGTTACTCTTAGTTTACCTTTGATCATTTTATACAGGACATGTCTCTCAGATTGGAGTTATATGGGATTCTTATATTTTCAGGTTATATTATATCAGACTTTTCAGTTTACTTTAAAAAAAGATGTTTACTCAACTATTAAAAGCTTTGTTTATTGAGGTTATGGGACTCACTTGCAATTAAAATATGACCTACTTACTTGGTACAACAATTTATTTAACAAAAATATAGAACACAATAAAATATTAAGCACAAAATTGCTAGGACAGCTAGATTGAACTCTGATATCTTCATTTGCATAGAGTATTTTGAAATGGTACATATTAGCATTTAAATTTTGTTCACAAAAATAGAGAAACAAATGCAAATATTTCATATCAGTGATTTTTTCACAAAAGATATTCCATAAATATAATCAGTTTCTAACTTCGTTAGCACTTGAACAATATTAAAACTGGTAACGTGTGAGGAAATTCTTTCTTAGTTCCATACCTAAGGAGATTAATGGAATCTTTATATGCAAAAGACTTTTGAACTCTGTGGGTTCAAAGTTCAAATGTAAATGACCATCTCTTCATTATTTATTTATTTTTTACCTACAATTCAATC